TCTCACTCAGATGCAACTGTTAGGGAACTAATTATTGTGAGAAAATAGCAAGAAAATATAGGAATTTTCTGTTGTGGTTTGATTAAATTTGAGACGGGAATCGCTGCAGCCAGGAGACTCCAGTGTTATAGCACTCATCTCATGGAGTGCATTAAATCTTTCAACAACTTCAGATCTATCTATAAGGTTTTAATTTTTTAAAATCTTTTCTATGTTTTATGCCTGTTTTGCCCAAAACGCTTGATGTTTTTAAAGGGGAAGAACCGCAAACATGCACATTTTCCCAAAAATATACCMAAGTGGAATATATTTGATGTGGGTGTTACAGTCTTGATCAGGTCAAAATTTTATTTTTATGCTTTAATTTTGGAGCAATGAAAGGTAAAAGAAATAAAAAAACACTTTACACTCAAGTCCTAAAACATAATAAATAATAAAGACATAAGTTAGCTAAGTGGTGGACGTTGATTTTTTTCATTGTGGTGTCCCACAACAGCGCTTCTTTTTCACATCACGTCTTTTTATTCTGACACAGATGGATCAGCAGTTAACACTGCCCTTCTCTCATTCATCACCAGGAGTGACATGAAATGAGCGCTACAACCCGAGAGTCTCCAAGCTGCAAGCATATAGTCTTGATTGTTTTGTGCTATAAACATAAGATTCTCTGCAAACCACAAGTCAGTTTAAGCAAAGCTCCTGTGACAAACAGTTACAACTGGACATTTGGTCACCCCAAGATAAAAAGAGGTAAGCTTTTATTTTGAAAAGGGGCTTAAATTCACCAGACGAGCGCCATGACGCGTGAGTTTCCAAGGTTGCAGCAACGCGCTCTTCCTAAACTTTATGTGACTTGTGTGACTGCGTTTTGAGCTGCCAGTTTTTTGAATATCACAACTTATTTTCTTTTGTCCTGCTTGTGAAACTATATTTTGTTGCTCACTTTGTTAGCTGCCTCCACTTTATTTAGTTTGATGAAGAACACTTAAAGCTTTTTTTGTTTGGTTTTTATGTGTCTGTTCTACAACTAAACCAACAGAGTGATGTGGATTTTTGAAAACATGTCAACAGCTTTAAAATATCCACCTTTATTCYGTTCCCTACATGAAGCCTGGACAAAGTCGAGGTTTTCAATCTAAAATTCTAACTGTCCCCATGAATGTTTATTTGAGCGCAGATGCATTATGTACGCGCGAGCGTGAGCGAAACAACTGTCAGATTCATAGGCCTCTGTAATCCTCTCCGCCTCTCCTTGTCCGCATTTCTTTATTTGTATTCCAAATGTCAGTGTATAAATGTCTTTCGAAGGGAGGTGGAGGGGTAATGCCATAAAGAAGAAGAGAGATGAGCAGAGGAAAAAAGAAGCAGAGACAAGAGGGTGTTGTGTGCCTTGGGAGAGCCGTGTAAGCAGCATGGCGGGGACAGGAGGATTTACAGGAAGAAATAGGTGTTTATTGAGTGCTCCTGTGGGCTTACTGCGTAATAATAGACCTGTCACATTACGCAAATGTGGAGAAACAGCTTGTGTGCGTGTGTTTGTGTGAGTGTTTGTGGGACTGTTGTTTTCTGTACTCTGCGCGCACGCGCACCGTGAATGCCAGAGCCGCCTGCCTCCGCATCATCAACTCTCGAGAAGCAGCAAYGAGCAAGCGGATAGAATTAGTCAGGCAAGAGCCTTTAGCTGCTAATATGAGTAATTAAAACTGCAAGCTGAGGCACTTAGATGCTTGTGTACTAAATAATTTACACGCCATGATCTATGGATCATTTCTCACTCCTAAATACCAAAGACGGCGAACAGAGGGGAGAGAATACTCGCAGAGGATTTATCAGCAACTCTGCCATAAGCAGGATGTCATGGTTATAATAATCCCTTTCTCACTTTCTGGAGCACTAATCACACAAGCAGATCAATCCGAGTGATTCCTCGGGTGGAAAATTTGTAGCTTGATTGCCGCTGACTCTTATCTAGCTGTAAAGCTAATAAAATATTGCACTGTAGCACCCATTGTGGCCTTATAATCCAAGTAAATAACACAGATTTATTGGGTAAATACCCGCAAGACATAAACAAGAAGAAGAAGAAGAAAAAAAAAACATGTTTTAATCAAGTAAAAGTTTCTACTGCTTTGATATTTGCACAATAGAGTATTACAGGGAGAATGTCAGCTGAAATGAAACAATCATGGGTGCATATTCCATCTGTTAAAACCATCTTGAAGCAGAATGCAACAAGGTCTGAAGGTGCAACATTGAAGACAACCAGCAGCGGCTTTTTGTACAGCGTGACGCTGAGACTTTTTGGAACAAACAGGTGAGGATGTTATTAAAAGCTGGATCAAGAAATGGATTAGTTGGGAGCTGACGACGGGCAGATCGGCAGGCCGTCTGATTCGTATTGATTCATATCGTCACGTAGGAAAGGATAGAGTTAGCAAATGTACATATCCAATATTTACCATGAGCTGGTGTTATTAAAGCCCGGGGCTTGGACATGGGCTGACATGCAACTACACCACTCAAATCCAATAATATTCCTCAGGACACTGAATTGAACTTGGTGACTGTCCCGGTATTTGTACATGGGGATCCCATTTGTCTGAATCCACTCACTGTGGCTCAGCAACAGTTATAAGATGCAGGGAGATAACTATTATCTAACTAAAACAAAAAATGCTACACCAAAACAAACATAAGCACTTAAAAAAAGTACAATTTGGATGCCATTGCTGGTGAAAATAATATTAACACTTTTTATATGTCTGAGCTGCAATATTTAAGAAAAAAAAAGTATGACAGTCTTCAGCAACCTTATCTCTTTGCCGGATTGTAATTAGATACACGGGGGTGTGACTCCAATTGAAGGTGTCGCCATTGTTAGACTCTGTGAAAATACCAACGGGTGAGGTTAACGCCAATTTCCCTGTCATTAATGAAATGCACAGAGCTCCTAATGAGGTAAACCACTACTCCTTGATAGTACTTATTAACCGAGTGGAGGGCACAAACTCCCACACTTCAATTTAAAATGACTAAAAATAAATTAGATAAAAAAATAAAATAAAAACACAGAGCAGATGTCAAGGGGCCTTACATAATTTGAAGTGGGAGGGGTGGTGGTGGAGGGGGGCTAACTGTCTTGTTGATATAAACGAGGAGGCTGAAAAGACGCTGGTGTGAGAAATATCTTAACACCAGGAAGAAAGTGGGAGTGTGAAACTATGTGCTTGCATATGTGTGACCTTTTCCAAATCACTGGCAACAGACGCAGACAGCTCTATGAATCAATAAGGTAAATTAGCATTGAAAGATGGAGATGACAGGCAGTAAAATTAGCTGTGTAACCTACTACACGACAAATATGAACTTCTGGATTTTCAACACGCGTGGATGTAGTGAAGAAAACAAAAACATTTAACTTGTCCTACCAATTAACTCAAATTTATATTCCTAATATTAAAGGAATAGTCCTTTTGAAGGGATGTTCTGTCTAATATAATGCCTGGCCAAAAAAAGGTCACGCACTAATATTTTGTTGGACCACTTTGATTACAGCACACATTCACTGTGGCATTGTTTCGATAAGTTTCCTAGACCAGACCAACTGCAGTAACCCCAGATCATAGCACTGCCCCCACAGACTTGTACAGTAGCCACTATGATGGATGCATCCTCAAAGATGATGGGTTTAAAGGGATCCCTGATTAGTTGCAACATTAGACTTTATTTGATAAACATTTATTTTAACTGTAAAATAAAGACTGTAAAAATACTGTAGGCTGTTCAGTTTTTATAATTTTTAAAAATATATTTTAACACGGACGAAGCCATTTTATTTACACACAAAGCATTCTGGGTAAATGATGACATGGATAGGTCCTCGGTGTGAGCGAGCTATATCCACCCTGAAGGTTAATCTTGGACAATATCTGATGATCGACTCTTTTAAATGAAACCAGAGAGYGTTGACAGAGAGGAGAAGGTAGAAATGACTCAGCCTGGAACTGAAAATATGGATGGAGGACAACAGAGCTGCTTCATGGAAGAASAACCTCAGCTTAGCCTGTTAGCCTTTGTGCTAGCGCTGACACTATATTGCCTTATATGTATTAGATCGGTGCTAGCGCGAAAAACAAGCTAAACTGAGGTCCTCCATCCATATTTTCAGTTSCAGGCTGAGTCATTTCTACCTTCTCCTCTCTGTCAACGCTCTCTGGTTTCATTTAAAAGAGTCAATCGTCAGATATTGTCCAAGATTAACCTTCAGGGTGGATGTAGCTCGCTAGCAGCCTCGCACCGAGGACCTATCCACGTCATCATTTACCCAGAATGCTTTGCGAGTAAATAAAATGGCCCCGTCCGTGTAATATATTTTTAAAATTTAGTTTCAAAATTATAAAAACAGCCCACATTATTTTTATAGTCTTTATTTTGAAGGTAAAATATATGTTTATTAAAAAAATCTAATGTTACAACTAATCATGGATCCCTTTAATAATACATTGAACAGTTCTTAACCCATTTTTAGTAGTTTCTGAAATCTCCTTATGTGTTTTCTCTGCTTGATGACAATGATTGGACCCATCTCAAACAGACAGTCATAAGTCAGGTCAGGAGTGGAAAACAAGACAAAAGTTCAGGCTAGACTAATGACTAGCCAAATGCTTGGCTGAAATGATGATCGTGTCCTCACTATTAATCACTATAAGACAAAACATCACTTCAAAGTTGACTGGACTGTCTCTTCAACGTCTAAGTTATAGACATCATTTTGCACCAGATCATGAATAATTGAAAGCAGGATGGATAAAACTTTGTTTTTTGATGTTTTTGTGTGCACGACCCRTCCAGGGGACTGACTTGTCCATCTTTACGATTCCAATGACAGGTCTGAGGATTGCATGCACAAACCAAACACACTTGGTGGAACAGAGGAAATCTTTTGGGTGGAGGCTGTATTATGGATGGACTTAAAGAGATTAGACAGGGAGCTGCTTTACCTGCAGTGGACGCTGCTTGTCCTGGCTCTTTGGAGATTTCAGGCCACAGCCTGGCTGCTGCAAGAGTAATTGCCTCGCCGCTTGTAGAGCCTGGGAAGAAGAGAGCACAACACAACAGACGGTGTGAGAAAACAGAGCGAAAAGGGAGGAGACAGTGAAAAYAAACTAGTAGGTTTCTTGAAGCTGACAGTTGAGATAATTCACTTTAAAAAAAAAACACACAAATCAGGTGCTTGTTGCTGGAAAAAACTGATTTATATAAACGTGTTTAACACGACACAGAATATRTTTTCGAAACATTTCATAGAGCTGTGATCAGGGATAAACATTTGTACTGAGCACCTCTGAAGAAGAAGACGGAGGGGGTGGTGAGAGGAAGGGGGAGAAAATGAAGGCAGAGTAGAATTGACCTGTCTAGTGTGTGCTCAGCTGAAATATCCACTTCTTTCTGCAAATTACCACCACATTTGCATATTCATAATATCAATTTGAAGTAGAGGCAGCACCATGTGAAGTGTCCCTGGGAGCTGTAATTAAAGTTGACAAAATCAACATCAGATTACATTTGGACTGAATTAACAAGCAGTCCGGGTTTTACACTATGCATTAAGGGTGCTTATGAGCAGAGGATGGGAGATGGATAGAGAGATTAATAGATTGGTTGGGAAAGGCAGACCTTTTCCTGTCTGATGAAATTAGTTTGCAGCTGTTTACACACGTCCAGAAAGATTTCAGAGTTTGCGTTGGTAAATTCCAAAAAAAAAAAATCGTCATCGATCCACGTTGAAGTGTTTGTCCGAAAACAATTTGCTGAGAATCCAAGAAGTTTGACATGTGCTGTGATTTATTTCTGCAGGGTTTGACGGGATTATGGCTTCCCCCGCTTTTTTTTWTTTWWATTTTTTTGTCTGTGTGCTCTGTGTGATGAGCGAGTCTTAGCTTAACAAGTACAGTGGCAGCTGGGCTCACAACTTCCCTCTGATTCCTCAAGAACAAGATGAGAGAGGCTGGCTGAAAGGAACACTGTGCACAGGTGCTCCACACAACAGAATAACTTGTACTGTTTCAGGCCCACGAGCAGGAGAAGTGGGGGTGCACATACATCCACAACACAACTTCACAGGTGTTTATGCTTTTGATGTAAAAAAAAAAAGAGAGAGAAAAGGATGAATAGAAAAGGCGATAAAAAATAAAACTCAGGTGCAGGGTGACACTTCCTCAAGAATCAGGGGTGCTCATTTTATTCTGGTGCTTGCCAGTATCCATGACAACGGCAGCTTTGACAGGGCGTGCATATGGCTCGGCTCTACCAGCTGGTGGGAACAATGTTTGAACTAGTACATYGAGAGCCTGAGCAAACAAGGGGAGAAGACAAGAGACAGAGGAAAGCATAAAAAAGGAGGAGGAAAAAAAAGTTGCCATGTCTTAACCCCTCTGGGAACACACACACACACACACATGCACACCCCAACACACACACACTTCTGCTGATCAATTATGAAAAGACAGAGCTGGGGAGGTGCCTTGAGAGGTGGGGGTGCTGGGGAGGGGGCTGTCTGGCTGCTCAGGAGGAGCCAGGGCTTCTGATCTACAGTAAACAAACACATTACACTGGAACTGGGTCCTAACTGCATTGATCCGTCTCCTCTGTAAGAGGAGCCCAGTCGCCACTAGTTTATATATATATGTGTGTGTGTGAGTGTGTGTGTGTGACGTGRCATCTGTGAGCTAAGCCTTGGATTTTCCTCAGTGTTGTATAAAGTACCACAAAGTGATACTTGAGTAAAAGTACAAGTATCTTACCAAAAAATTACTTTGATAAAAGTTAAAGTCTCCTTTAGGAATATTACTTGCATAAAAGTCTTAAAGTATCTGATATTTTTGTACTTAAGTATTAAAAGTAAAAGTATTGATTTAAAACGAGCAGTTAGATTTTCTGTAATGACATTTACTAGGAGGTGACCTCCCCAAAACAATGCAGAAATGACTATATTGTATTAAAATAATTAATTTATGTTAAATTTAGGATGCACTAGTCTATCTGTTTCAGTTTATTTCAAGGGTGACCAAAACTTTTCCCCAAAATGAAAATCTATCTGACGGCTGCGGCCAAATACAATAATATAATTCATGAAATACAAATACTTCTTAAGTACTGTCCTTTTATTTTAATGTTTATGTCCTGCTGGAGTGTGACAGGATTTGTTTGTGTACAAACTAATACGAAATCAAAATTTTATATATTTATACTTCTCATTCAGTCATAATTAAGTTCACTCTATCTAGGAAGTACAATTTATATGGATAGTATTTATTTTTTTACAATAACAAGCTGGAATGAAAACAAGCAAAAATGAAATAAAATTAATGACTTTCTACTTCTTGCCTTTTTAAAAAATGTAAGGAGTAGAAAATACAGATAATTGTGTGAAAACATAAGAAGTAGAAGTAAAAAGTAGGCTGAAAATAATTACTCAAGTAAAGTACCCAAAAATTCTACTTAAGTACAGTAACAAAGTATTTGCATTTAGTTACTTTRCAACTCTGCTTTTCCACAAAACACACATCTGTAGTGAGCAAACACACACACAAAAATGTGCACAGTAAGTTTTGTCGAACAAGATGGGAGGGAAATCAAACGTTTTTTCCTTCCTTTCTGTACTGAACATAAAAGACAACATAAACTCCTGGAAAGCAGCCAATCGCTTTGCTAATTAAAACACAGGGCCCAATTAATCTCAGCATGATTGGTGAATCAAAGTAATTATAAGGCTTATTGAGTCCCGCACACAGTAGTTAGAGGGGAGGCTGCTTGATGAGTGCGGCTCAAGGTAGTTGTCGGGGGGTGGGGTGGGGGGGATGTTTATCCGTGTGCGAATCAATAATGRCTCGCTGCGTTGTACCCAAAGTCAGGAGAGCCGCTCGATATATGACGCACGGTCAAGAGTACAGAGGAGGAGGTGTTTTTCAATGTCCTTCCCATATCTAAGCCGTGGAAATATCCAGGGAGGTGTGTGTGCATGAGGAGGGGTGAAACAGAGAGGCTTATTAGAAAAGAAGTCATAGTGAGCACTTCTCCAAACATAACACGGACCTTATCAACACCGGACAAAACTTTTTTTTTTTTTCCACGGTGGCTTATGTCTCAAACCGTCTGTCACCTCCAATGTGGAATTGGGGTTAGCCATTTTTCTGGTGTGGAAAGGAAGGAGGGGATAAAAAGTTCCATCCCTTCCTGTTTTTTTATATATTTTTTTTTACCTGCTCAGAGTATTCAGCCATTACAGTAAAAAGCACCAATTTGCGCCACCCACTTTTCACGCCGCATAGATGGAGCGAAAGCCYATCTGAGAGCACAAAAAGCTGCAACTACCTCGGAAAAGTCATCAAAAGTTTTGCTGAAGAGCTGCCAGAGTGGACGAAAACACCGCCGCGAGCAGATGCGCCATCTATTTAACCTGGGTTGCTATGCACGAAAAAAAAAATGACATTCCCAGTCTATTAATTCACACATTGTATAAACAGCACAATGTGACACATTCTTAGAATGAGAGAGCAAACCAGACAGAGGCCCTGCTATATAAATAACAAGGCACTCAGAGGCATATTTGATGTTGATATCCATCACTGAGGCTGGAAAGAGGGGGGAAGAAAAAAAAAACACGGGGAAGGAAAATAACACAGAGCGACTGAGACCGYGACACGGGGATCCTTATGAAAATAAGATTCAGCCCAAATGGATCTGGTGTAATTGGTTTCAGATAGTGAGGTCGGCAGAAAGGCGATACAGGCAACTATTATGCGAAACGGACTGAGAAACAAGAATGTTTACACAGGCATTCCTCTCCTACATTAATAGGCATGCAGAGATCACTAGAAAGGGCGAAAAGGAGAGAGTGAGAAGAGGCTGACAGAAGAAGGAGCGGCAACGGAGGAAAAAAAACACACCTTCAACCCCCCCACTACCCCCACTCTACTTTCTTCCCTCCATACACAACTGTAACTCTACACAGGAGATGGTAATAAGCAATGCACYTTTGTAAGGAGCATGCAAAGAACTTAAACAAGCATGAAATACATCAGTGGGAGCTTCATAACCGGGCCAAACCATTACAAATCTCCAGATTGCTTATTGCATGGGGTGCTGCTGCTGGAATAAGCCATAGACAAAGAACGTCACTCTTTCAAATCCACACGGAGACGCCACAATATTCAGCCATGACATTGGCACTGGATGTATTTGAGAGGCTGTGACATTGTGTTTGGACAGTGCAGATCACTTCCTGGCTCAAATCACACTGGGAGCTGTTGTTATTAAGGGATTTAGCTGATATTGGGATGATGACACAGGCATGTAATAATCTGCCCCCAACAGGTATTTCCTGACAGGATGCTGCCTCTCGGTTCAGAAAAAAAAAGCTGTAAACACGACGCAGAGTTGTTGATCGAAGCCGGCCTGCATCACGCTAACATGGTTTATCTCAAGTGTGCTGAACAGATGTTTAGTGTGTGTTGCTCCCGTTCGCAACATCAAGCTGTCGGCCAGAACAACTCCACATGAGCTGACAGCTCCAACAACTCACACACACGCGCGCATGTACACAACTGATGCATAAGCACATATATGTACACACTGTGCTGCATCACTGAGCTTGGGTGTCTGCTTCCAGGAAACAGATTCAGAAGGAGGGGAATAAGGAACAAATGTGTTTTAATCAATCACATAGAGACTCGTGCCGTGGAAAACAAGGCACGRAAAAACAGTTTAGGCTGAACAAACAAACATGGCTGATTGGATCGGGGCTGCAGGCTTGTTGGCGGGAAAAGATATGCGCTCGCACTTCACACCAAAATATTTACACCTTATCTCCTTGTGTTACTGGATTCGGGGCAGATGGATGGAGGGATACAGAAATGGAGGGGCTGGCTAGAGAGGATAAACAAATCAGAAGAGAAGATAGGGGGACGAGATGTCCTACGCAAAATGTGAATGAAAAAGAAAGGGCCGGAAAGTAACYCATCCATACAAACGGAAAGACTCTTATCCTTTTGTAAAGGTCAGAGCTGCCAGCGGCACTCTACTAAAGCAG